ATTTGGAGTTAAATAAATAAATTATTTTGTAAAACTTTGGGTCACATTTTCAAGATGTCTTGATTTTGTATTTTCCTATATTACAATCCTAATTAGCCCCAAATTAATTTAATTTTCTGTTTGTGAATAGGTTGACTTCACTCACATTCAACCGTCAAAATGTCAGATTCTGAGACTTGAAACTAGGTGTGTCACACTCACATTCAACCGTCAGAATGTCAGATTCTGAGACTTGAGACTAGGTGTGAAAAGGAATCACTCTTGAAGTTGGATCCTCCACATAGAGAGCATCAGGATTGAGTTGGATTCGAAGACACCGGCTGGTGTCCACTGCAGAGTAGACTGCTTGTGGGGAGAAAACCCTACGCCTTTTAATGTCACGGAAGTCTTCCATTTTGGTTGCTAGGGCAGAAGAGTGTAAAAAGGTAGTTGTTTTTACCTCAGAATCCAAAATGTGCAAACAGAATTCCATCAGGCAAAGGTAAGAGAAGCACATTTGGGGACACTGAACAGCTGAGGTGGAATAGGGACAGCATCTGTACGAAGTCAGCACTGAGCCTGAGACTGCCACAACCATGGAAAGAGAAAGAAAATCAGTCAGAAAGGATAGGAATGTCCTGGAGAGAGAGCAGAATCCATCTTCACTCTTCTTAAATGTTTAAATGAAATATACATCAATCTTCCTAGAACCTCCTTTCCCTTTCTGTTGCCTGCAGGAGATCTGTCTGATTCCCAGTCCCTCATTGCCTTTGAGAGGACTTAAGACTTCTTGGAAAAGTCAAGAAAAGCCAGTGCAGATTTATGACTGGAGAGGGACCACATCCCACACTACTTAATACAGACTGTCATTTGCAGTTGTTTAGAATAACTTCCCCAATGGGATCTTCAGTTTCTCTGGAGGCTCCACCGTCAGCCTGGTCTTACATTTAAACAACCCCTATGAGACACCAGCCTTAGAAATTCTATAGAAATAATGGAAGTGTGTATAAGTCACAAAACGGGGGGCATCATAAAGTCAAAACTTCCCCTTTTTACTTCTGTTTCCCCATATTTCATGCCAATTTCCTTCTGATCTCAAAATCTTCCAAATCCATTGCCTATTTTCAGCTTTCTGATCTTGTCTACATGTCCATGCATGAGTGCCTAGAACCCCCTTTTCCTGGCAAAGTTTGGGGTAGGGTTCCATTACATTCCTTTCTACTACTGTGAAGATGGACAAAAGAGCTGGTTTCGGAGGGCAGGAAGAGAGGCTATGAAATGGGACACTGAAAGGGCCGGGAGACAATCTGGAAGTCACTACAACACAATGACTTGGACACGAGTGGTGGGAAAGACAATAAAATGAAACAGCAGGGTCTAGGCATTTGAGGCACCAGTTATTAGCTGAACTGAGTTGAAGAATGACAACTAAAAGAAGTCACAATCAAAAGTCTATCAAATTGATCTCAAACATTGTTGAATGGCTAATTCAATTGACAAGTACATTCACGAATGGCAGACATACTATAAGGATGAAGATAATACCACAGGTGGTTAATCACCAGTGTTCCCAGGAGCCTAATACCCCTCCCCCTTACTCAAACAATAATTCTAGGGAAGGAATTCTGGCTGACAACTCTTGTTACAGGCTTTGGATTTACTGTCCCTTCTGCCTAGGAATGACCCTCCCACTTCCAGCCTTGCCTGACTTGGGGAAGCTGGCCAACTTACTGAAAAGGAATGATATATAACTCAATGTCATGATACTGTGTAATACAATAGTTGGCCTTCCTGGCATAAATCATAAACGCCTTGGAATCTCAGAAATGATAGTGTGTTAAGAAGTTGACTGAGGGTTGGCAGTTTCTGAATAACTTCAGAATGGGTCTGGTGGATTAGTTGATCGGCACTGCCAGTGATTCAATCTTATCTATGTAATGAATCTTCCACAAAAACTCAAAAGCACTGAGTTCAAAGTTTCTGGATAGCTGAACACACAGATTCAAGGAGTTGGGGCTGAGGTGGGGTGGGGTGTTTACTCATACAAGCCCCTTTCCCTAGACCTCATCTTATGCATCTCTTCATCAGTATCTTTTATAATACATACCATTTATGAGCTACTCCAGCAAATTAGTTCAAATCTGAGGAGAGAGTATGGGAAACGTGATTCTTAGTTAGAGACTCAGAACCACAGGCATGAACACCTGGGATCTGCATTTGGCACTGGAGTAGTTCTCAACTTGTGGGTTCTGAGGCTCATCTTCAGGAGATAGTAAGTGCCAGAACTCCAGAACTAAGGCAAATTAGAACCCCAGCTGGTTCTTACTGCAGAACTGCTACTGCGGTGTGCAGGGAAATCTCCCACAGTGCAGTGCCAGGGATGAGCTGTGTGGTCAAGGCACAGGAGGGGAAACTGGGTCTGAGACAGTTTTTTCTACTTTCATGGACAGCAAGGATTCCTAGACTTAAGCCTGAGAACACAGGGGTGGGGTGTAGGGGAAGAGGAGGAAAAGTGAAATGTGGAGCACAAGAGACTTCTGCTACCCTCACATGAGAGTCCAGTCGGCGTTCCAAGGCATTCTCAAACAACCCCTGGGCTTGGTCCTCTCTCTTCAGAATCACAGTGGGAAATTCCAGGCTCATCCACAGGGATGACAGTCCTTGGCCTCTAGGACCTAGGAGATGTTTCCTTCTGCATGAATTATGATCCCTGCTGCTCCTGTGAGAACATCCAGATGGGAACTTGTCCTCTCTGTATTTATGTCCTTGTTTTTCCCTGATCCGTGTCAAGAGTTCCATTCACAGATAGCCTCAGATGTAACCAGCCACCCTCTCTCCCCGTGTAAACAAAATACAGTAATCAAAATATTAGGTCACATCAAACAGCTGTAGAAAGCAATGGATTTTGAGGATGAGCCATAGCTCTTCTTTTTTCCCCCAACTACATTGTTTTGTCTTCTCTGTCATTTGGGAGAGTGAGTACTTCGGGTTAAACATAGGACCTTACTACATTGTTTTTAAGTCTTCTCTGTCATTTGGGAGAGGGAGTACTCTGGGTTACACATAGGGCCTCACATCTGCTAAGAAAATGTTCTACCACTGAGCTACATCTCCCAATTCCCTTCACTGTCTTTAACTAGAGAAAATATGTTAAACTAAAATAAAACAGGTAAAGTTCATGTGTTAACCATAAATGATTTTGCAATTTGAGATTTTCTCACATTCTTTTTGTATTCCAAAGTGACACTGGATCCTGACATAAATATTTTTGTTAGCAATAATTTTTAAGTAAAAGTGTATAACCAATGCCATCGCATCATGGTACACTCCCTCCTGTGGTGACCACCCCTGAACCCTCTTCTGGAAGGCTCTCAGATGAGTGGGCTTGGGCTAGAGCCACACATTCACCTCCCATGCCTTCCCATCACTTCTGTCTGCTGCTCTCCTCACTTGGCTCACTCAGTTTGTTCATGTGCACTGCTCTCCCTGAAATGTGCAGTGAAGGGCAGATGCATCCAGCTTCCTGCAGATCTGCATAGACTCAGCTCTCTGAATGATGGGTAGTTCTTAGTAGAAGCTGTGGAGTGACTAAGTATCCCCTTATGCCAAAACTGTTAAGAGAGGTATGATTCATCTGTTACCTCAGCACTTGGAAGACTGAGGCAGGAAGATTTCTGCAAACTCTAGGCCAGAGTAAGTTCCAAGCAGCCTGGGCTGTACAGTGAGACTATTGTGTGTGTGTGTGTGTGTGTGTGTGTGTGTGTGTGTGTGTGTGTGTGTGTGTGAGAGAGAGAGAGAGAGAGAGAGAGAGAGAGAGAGAGAGAGAGAGAGAGAAAGAACCAGAAAAGAAACTAAGAACCCCCCCCCCCATGTTTTCTTTTTTTTTCTTTTCTTTTCTTTTTTTTTTTTTGGCTGCTTAGTCAATAAGTTTATTATCTTTGTGAAAAAATCTTCATAGAAATAAAACCTACACTACTTAGGGTGGTATGTGCCCGTGACTCTAAGGCTGAGCCAGGAGAATGAGGAGTTCAAGGCTACAAAGTGAGACCCTGCTTCAGACAAAAGGGGAAAAAATGAAACGGAGGGAAGGGAGACACAAGGAAGGAAGGAAAGAAGGTGGACAGGAGGGAGGGAATCAAGGAAGGAAGGAAGGAAAGTAGGGAGGCAGGCAGGGAGGGAAGGAGAGAAGGCGGGAGACAGGGAGGGAAGTGTGGAGAAGAGACCTTGGCTGTAGGGGGAACTCCAGGGCATTCCTATGCTTTGTCCTCTCAACAAGTTCAGTGCAGGCCAGGGAGACAGGCCTCTAACTTGCTCTGTGTCTACAGACTTAAGCAGAGACACCCCAGTGGCTCCTCTCTTCCTCACCACCTTGTTTCCAGCCAGCACCTTGCACACTCTCCCCAGTAGTCCCCTACACTTCCTGTTCCCAGGCTTTCTCCCTTTCCTTCTCATCACACATCTCTGTGTGTAGGTGTCTCATGGTCCTCCGTCCTGACTTTTCCTACCTTCTTCCTATGCATCTTAGTAGCAGGAATGTCCAGAACTGGCATGGGCACTTCTAACTGGCCCAGGAAGAGTGTAAGCCAGCATCAGCCACATTAGCTTACTGAATTCGCATGCCAGTCACCCATTCCCGGGGGCCAGCTTGAAAAGGGGGAGAAGGGGACATTCTAGAATGTTCAAATGACTAAGGACGGCCATGTTAGTTAAACTCCAAAAGACTCAGAGCTGAGGTGTTGACAAATGCGTAGGTTGTTTGTCATCCTGGCAGGTGAGGCTGCAGCCCAGGTCTAGCAAGGAGCATATAAAGCTGATTTCTTTGCCAGCCAGGTTTTGTTATTGACATCTCAACCAAGGCAAATCTAGTAAGCTGGTTACTTCATTCCTAGGGAAGATTCCTGAGAATCTACAGGTGTCCAACCTCTGCTGTGCTTAATTCAGCCTTACCAAAACCAGCTTGCCCAGCTGTGAGAGTGCTGAGGCTCAGGAAAGGGCAGGTCGAGAGGGTGGGCTGGACTTACCTGCGCTCCGGGAGGCTCTGGTAGCCTGGTGAGTCCCAGTCACCGGGAGGAAAAGCTGTGGCTTGAGCTCCACTAGACGCATGGCTCTGCGTCCCCGGGGCCGTCCCTGGGTCCCGGGTGGGGACAAAGCCAGCGCCAGCAGCAGCAGTGCGGGCAGCCGGGCGCTGGGCTTAGCGGGCCGCATAGCCTTGGCATCCAGAGCAGGGAGCGGCAGGCTGGCGCGGCACTGGGACTTAGAGGAGCGCGAAGCAAGATCTATGCGCTCTGGGGCGCGGGGCGGGGACCGGAGGCGGGGCGGTGCTGGGGACCCGGCAGGCTAGGGCGGGTCAAGGCTCAAGACCCTCAGAAGCACAGGCCGCCTCCCTTGGGACTCTTTCCGTGTCCCCAGGGTTTGGGGCAGAGATGGCGCCAAAGCTGCACAGCGAGTCCCAGGGTTTCCCGGGTCCTAGACCTAGATTGTGGGTCTCTGGGTCATGGCCTCCACTGACCCTCCGGATTGAAAGAACCCACAACTTCTAGTTCTGGACAGGAGAAAGGGGGATGGGATATCTCCTGGCGGAGGCAAGATGAAGAGCTCTTTGGCCAGGAGCCCTGCTTTGCCCCAGAGCTGGCCAGGTGGGCACACCTGCTGTCCCTGCTCAGGTACCAGAGTCCCCATCTCTACCTGGGCCCCGAGAAGCCAGAACCGGGGTGCCCCCAGAAGATCTAAGGAATAGCACTCAGGACAACAAAAGCCAAGAGATGCCAAACCAGGGCATGCCTGGGTCCCTGTGGACAGGTGACCAGAGACCCACATGACTGGCATTTTTAGGCTTTGAAACTCTTACCACAAAGTTCTGGCGTTAACATCGATAACGGGAGGCAGGGTACATTCGTTTAAAATGAGAGCATTTCTGATGAAGCAGTGCTTTGTCAGTTACAGTTTGAGCCATTTCGTCTGCCTGTCTTACTGCGTTGTATTAAGTATATATGTCGACATGCCCATGGCTTGATTGCTAATTATCTTCTCATAACTAAAGGCAATAGAAGGCTCTGTGGTTCCTTAGTCATTGACTGACTCAAAATTTCTCTTCAAAGATATCTTGTCTGTCTCAAACTGAAAAAAATAATCTCAATTTACTCTTTCAGTTGGCCTAAACATTGTTTTCAAAAATGCACAGGAAATTGGAGTGGGAAGCACTTTTCTAAGAGCTTTATAGAGTCATGCCTTTGACTGGAACTCTTTCAAGAAAGTTGTTGTACAAAGACTCAGGATGCTTGAGGAAGCACAAACCCCCATGTTTCCTAAGCAAGCACCATGGAGTGTAAAAATGGCTTCCAATCCCTGGGCACCAGCCACTCCAGGGAAGACCTGCCCAACTTGGCCCCAGGTTCTGGCCACCGGGCAGGTTCCCTGCTAGCCCCACCGGGAAGGATCCCCTTCTCCAAGACCCCTGGCAGACCCTGCAGTCTCCACGCCCTGCCCCCACGCCCATCCGCCTGAGCCCCAAGCCTCTTCCTGAGACTTAGAGGCCGGCCCCCAGCTCCCATCTTGCTCCGGACTTCCCTTTTGCAACACTGACTTCCCTTTTGGAACACTGGTCTGTCTGAACCAAGTGTGCGGATAAGGCCAAGAACGAACCACAAGGAGATGGGCAGACGTCAAGGCAGAAACATATACAACAAAATGAATAGCAATACAGCATCACCAGGCCCTAGCCCTCCTCCAACACCTAGACCTGAACATCAGAAATTGGAAGAAGCAGAAGAAAACAGCCTTATGAATGACATCATGAAGAAGCTAGAGGCTTGTGTAGAGGAAAAGACAAAAAAATGTGAAGAACGCTGTAAACAACTAGAGGAAAGGGCAAACAAATTAGAAGAAATCAATAAAGTCCTGGAAGAAAACAATAAAATACTGAGAGAAAATCAAGAAAAATCAATGAAACAAATGAAGGAAACAGTCCAAGACCTGAAAAGGGAAATAGAAAAAATGAAGAAGACACAAACAGAGGGAATGCTGGAAATAGAAAATCTGAGAAAACGATTGGGAACTTCAGATGCAAGCATAATCAACAGAATGCAAGAGATGGAAGAGAGGATCTCTAGCGTTGAAGATACAGTAGAAGAAATACATTCATCAGTCAAAGAAAACACTAAAGCCAACAAAGTCATGAACAAAAATGTCCAAGAAATTTGGGACACCATAAAAAGACCAAACCTAAGAATAATAGGGGTCGAAGAAGGAGAAGAATACCAACTCAAGGGCACAGAAAATATATTCAACAAGATCATAGAAGAAAACTTTCCCAACTTAAAGAAGGAAATGCCTATGAAGATACAAGAAGCTTATAGAACACCAAACAGACTAGACCCCCCAAAAAAGTCCCCTCGCCATGTAATAGTTAAACAACTAAACGTACAGAATAAAGAAAGAATATTAAGAGCAGCAAAGGAAAAAGGCCAAGTGACATATAAAGGCAAACCCATCAGAATAACACCCGATTTCTCAATGGAGACTTTGAAAGCCAGAAGAACCTGGACAGATGTAATGCAGACACTAAGAGACCATGGATGTCAGCCTAGACTAATATACCCAGCAAAACGTTCAATCACCATAGATGGAGTGAACAAGACATTCCATGACAAAGCCAGATTTAAACAATACTTATCCACAAACCCAGCCCTACAGAAAGCACTAGAAGGAAAATTCCAACCTAAGGAAGTCAGATACACCCTCGAAAACACAGGCAACAGATAAAGCCACAGCAGTAAACCCCAACGTATAGAAGTACCCACACATCACCACCAAAAAATAACAGGAATGAACAATCACTGGTCATTAATTTCCCTCAATATCAATGGACTTAATTCACCTATAAAAAGACATAGGCTTACAGAATGGATACGAAAGCAGAACCCATCTTTCTGCTGCATACAAGAAACACATCTCAAATTCAAAGATAGATACTACCTAAAAATAAAAGGCTGGGAAAAGACTTTCCAATCAAACAGTCTTAAGAAACAAGCGGGTGTAGCCATCCTGATATCCAGCAAAATAGACTTCAAACTAAAATCAATCAAAAGAGATCAAGAAGGGCATTACATACTCATCACAGGAAAGATCCACCAAGATGAAGTCTCAATTCTGAATATTTATGCCCCAAACACAAGGGCACCCACATATGTAAAAGAAACATTACTAAAGCTTAAATCACATATAAAACCCCACACATTAATAGTGGGAGACCTCAACACCCCACTTTCACCACTGGACAGATCTCCCAAATTGAAACTTAACAGAGAAATAAAGGACTTAACTGATGTCATGACTCAAATGGACTTAATCGATATCTACAGAACATTCCATCCTAACAAAAAAGAATATACCTTCTTCTCAGCACCCCATGGAACCTTCTCTAAAATTGACCACATACTTGGCCACAAAACAAATCTAAACAGATACAAAACAATTGGAATAACCTCCTGTGTTCTATCAGAACACCATGGTCTAAAGTTGGATTTCAACAACAACAAAAACTACAGAAAACCTGCAATCTCATGGAAACTGAATAATACCCAACTGAATCACCAATGGGTTAAGGAAGAAATAAAGAAAGAAATTAAAGACTTCCTAGAGATCAATGAAAATGAAGACACCACATATCCAAATTTATGGGACACTATGAAAGCAGTACTAAGAGGGAAATTCATAGCACTAAATGCCCACATAAATAAGTTGGAGAAATCTCACACTAGAGACTTAACAGCATACCTGAAAGCTCTAGAACAAGAAGCAGCACAGTCTCCCAGGAAAAATAGATGCCAGGAAATTATCAAAGTGAGAGCTGAAATCAATAAAATAGAAACAAAAAGAACAATACAAAAAATTAATGAAACAAAGAGTTGGTTCTTTGAGAAAATCAACAAGATAGACAAGCCCTTATCCAAACTAACCAAAAGACAGAGAGAGAGCATCCAAATCAACAAAATCAGAAATGAAAAGGGGGACATAACAACAGACATTGAGGAAATCCAGAGAATCATCAGGTCATACTTCAAAAACCTCTATTCGACAAAACTGGAAAACCTAAAAGAAATGGATAACTTTCTGGATAGGTACCACATACCTAAGTTAAATCAAGACCAGATAAACTATTTAAATAGTCCAATAACCCCTAACGAAATAGAAACAGTCATTAAAAGTCTCCCAACCAAAAAAAGCCCAGGACCAGATGGTTTCAGCGCAGAATTCTACCAGATCTTCAAAGAAGAGTTAATACTAATACTCTCTAAATTGTTCCACACAATAGAAACAGAAGGAACATTACCAAACTCCTTCTATGAGGCTACAATTACCCTGATTCCTAAACCAAACAAGGATACAACAAAGAAAGAGAACTACAGACCGATCTCCCTCATGAACATTGATGCAAAAATACTCAATAAAATACTGGCAAACAGACTCCAAGAACACATCAAAACAATTATCCACCATGATCAAGTAGGATTCATTCCAGGGATGCAAGGGTGGTTCAACATACGAAAGTCCGTCAATGTAATACACCATATAAACAAACTCAAAGAAAAAAACCATATGATCATCTCACTGGATGCAGAAAAGGCATTTGACAAAATCCAACACCCCTTCATGATAAAGGTATTGGAGCGATCAGGAATACAGGGAACATACCTAAACATAATAAAGGCAATTTACAGCAAGCCAACAGCCAACATCAAATTAAATGGAGAGAAACTCAAAGCAATTCCACTAAAATCAGGAATGAGGCAAGGCTGTCCACTCTCCCCATACTTATTCAATATAGTACTTGAAGTTCTAGCCAGAGCAATAAGACAACATAAGGAGATTAAGGGGATACAAATTGGAAAGGAAGAAGTCAAGCTTTCCCTATTTGCAGATGACATGATAGTATACTTGAGCGACCCCAAAGATTCCACCAAGGAACTGATACAGCTTATAAACACCTTCAGCAACATAGCAGGATACAAGATCAACTCAAAAAAATCAGTAGTCCTCCTATATACAATGGACAAAGAAGCGGAGAAGGAAATCAGAGATACATCACCCTTTACTATAGCCACAAATGACATAAAATACCTTGGGGTAACACTAACCAAGCAAGTGAAGGACCTATATGACAAGAACTTTAAGTCCCTGAAAAAAGAAATTGAAGAAGATGTCAG